CAACAGCAAACCAGGAAACAGCACCTAAAACGGAGCTGACGCAGGTGAAGGCGGCTGATACGAACAAGAAAGTGGGTGAAGAAAAAGCCAGGTAGCGTATATCCTCGAGCCAAGATGCGGTCCGCAGGTTCTCTCCGCCCTCAGCCCGACCCCTAGGTGGATCACGGTGAAATCGAGAAAAGAGAATGATGCAAGTAAGCCCGAGCGCAGGTGTCAAGCGAAGGGCCCATTGCCAACGGCCATCCAGGAGGGCCATGGTTGAGCCAAGGATGTAGCCTAGTCCGCTGTGATGCCAAGGAAAAGGACAGAAGTCAAAGATGGGACGAATGGCTTGCACATCCAAATAGCACGTAAAAAATGAAATTTACTTTTTGGGATATTTAAAAGATCACAATGTTCAGAAATGTGCAGTGTAAACCGCAAATATGTACTTAGAATAGTTTCTCTAGTAACCGTAGAATAAAAGGCTTAGGGCCTTTATTCTATCATAAATTTTACATAAATATAAATCAGTTTGTAACTTTATGTTTAAGCAAAAAAGACTCCCCAAGTAAACAGAACTAACATAATTAACTAAGTTAGCGTTTGTTCGTTTATAATTAGGTTCCTGAGACTACCAGATCAAATATGAGAAGTATTCACCCTATTTCTCTTGAATTGATAAGGTAGCTCGTAGTTTAATTTTCCCACACACCGCCTTTTACCCTGGATGAGAATACCTACATATAAAATAAAAATGAATAAAGTAGTCAATTGCTATAGTAAATACAACTTTGCTCCATTGACAATCCCACCACACGAAATGATAAGATTAAATGCCAGGCCTTCATTGAAATGCACATCTTCCCTGTGACCCAAGGGCACTCATGGCAGTGGATTAGTGGTTTACATGTCGAAATCATACACTGCAATCTCATGGTTCGAATCCTGCTGAGAGTGTTGGTAAGGCCTAGGCAAGGTCGAAAATAGTCATTTATGGAGGATAATACCTTTTGGGAAGCAAGGCTATGTGAAATTCAATGAAAAAGTAGGGTATACTCATTATAAAGTAGGAAAATCCAACTACCAACGTTAAATGAAATT